CAGTGATTTAGATTACTAAAATTATTAATTTTTTAAAGCCTCTATAAAGGTACATAAATGAGCCTCAGAGTATTCACCTACCAAAGTTCAGCCGACAGTGATACTTATCGCAATGTGAGAAAATTGTAAACAACTCACTCACGCTACCATTCAAGGGCTGATACAATCTTCACTACACTGGTGCGAAGAGTCACTTTAATATACTTTGACAGCTTTCCCCACTCCAATTATTTTCGTTTTAAAAAAAAAAAGTAAATTAAAAGATGGTTCTGTTTTAAATAGAATTTCTGCTAAATAACTACTATCTGTGAAATACATATTATTTGTAAGCAGTGGGTAGTACTGGAATGGAACCAAGAGTCAGCTTTTGAAGCAGGAAGCTAAGGCATCATTTTGTAATGCCTGAAGTGATTTTTAAAACTCATCTAAATACCATTAAACATCTGCCCTTTTTATTTCATTGATTTAAACCATTTCTGAAGATTCATGATTCAAAAAGGTAAAGATGGTAATTTAAAAGCCATGGGGGAAAAAAATCTCTCCCCGGGGAACTTTTCAGAAAAGCAGCCGCCAGTCTCTGATAAGTGATGAATCTGTTGTGGTATTGCTTTCAGTACAGTATAAATTTATCTGGCATTATCTCACAGTAATGCATGCATCATTTCACTGGGAGCAAAGATATGATGGCCGTAAGAGCAAACAAAGCCAGGGAAGACAGGAGAGCAGGGCAGAGAGCAGCAGGTTCCTTAGCTTTAGAGGGAAAAATCTCTGTGCCAACGTTTATCACCATTACAAACAATTTAGCAAGATAAACACTGTTTGCAAATTCAATTTAATGAACCAAGAAGACAATTTTGAATGAAGGAGTCAACAATAGTTTCTGAGTCTTTCTGGGCAGTATATAACTTAACTGTTATAAATAACAATCCCAAACAGTAAGGGACAGGAACAGGTTGGGGGGAGTAGCTCACCAATATTAGATTTACCACTAACAGGATGCTTCCTATTCTCTGTCTTTAATATAATGATATCTTCTTTATTTGGATCAACCATAAATCCTTTTATAAGCTTTAAAAAGCTTCTTTTCTTCATTGGCTGTCTTGTCTATTACTATTTTTCATACTGTCTTGAGACAAATAAGCGAAAAGATACCTACCGATACCACACTCCATTTAAAGTAATCTACCATCAGTTGCATTACTCCCAAATTAAATTTAAATGTCAACTTAATTAATGATAATTTCTGTAGAACATTTTTAAAATTAAAAGTACTCTCAAGAAGAGCCCAACTGAGCTTTGCAAGAGAAAAAATACTCAGAGAAGATTGAAATCTAAACCCCACTGGGACACTCTGGCATTCTCAGACTGATGGGCCTACAATTTCAAGGCCTGTCCCCATGCTCTAGGTAAACACAAAATGGGTCATGCTCATTTGCTCCTCTGGACTTGTGGCTACTTCCTTTAAATCACAACTGTCTCCCAATATAGACTTTCACTAGACAGAGCCAAAACATGAGGAAAAACAAAGATTTGCCACTGAGTTCTTCTATGAGGCCATAGTATGTAAGCAGGTAAAAGGTCACCCCAACCAAGGCACTCACCTTCCAAAGGATCCTTATTGAGTCCCAGTTGGCTAATGATGTACCTGGGAATGTCAGTTTTAATACCCTGTCCTTCTTTTGCATGGCCTTCTGCTGCTTCCAATAGGTAGTAAAATTCTTCAGGATCAAATTCCTAGCAGAAGACACAGATGAATACTTCTCTGAGCCACAACTGTCTGAGGTTTTATTACATAAATCCCATTCACAATAAAACTGCTGGATCTACAAGGTTGTAGCCTATTTATGCAGAAAGGAGGCAAGTGGCTTTAAAAAGTATATAATTCTCACTTCATATATGAAGCCTATTCATATTTTAAGCCAATACATTTACGCACTTATAACTCAAAGATAATGATTATTTCCAATTCCCTTGTAATGTAACTCTGAAGGTACTTCTAAAGGTACTATGCTCCATTTAAGATCTCTACTTCATTGAAAATGAACAGGTCTGAGTTTTAATTGTGCCTTCTTAGCAAACTTTTAAAATCTGGGAATTTCCATGCAGAAGATTTGAGATTCATTTTCTCTGCACAATCAGTCACAAAAGGAATAATGTTAG